TAGAGTGGGGTCTAAAAGGGGGCCAAATATTTATGCTTCAGTCGAGACCCGTAACTAATTTAGACAACTCTTACACCGACTACGAGATTATGCATGAATTGGATTCATCTCATCCGTCAGAGTTTGAGATCTACTCCCGGGCCCATTGGGGAGAAAACTTTCCCGGAGCCACCTCTTGGACAGCCCTTCAGATCCATTGGGGCAATAAAAGTAGTTTTGTCGTGAGTTATTCTTTTAGTGTTATTTTTATGTTTAAAATTTTTATAATGTAGTTATTTTATAATGTAATAATAATCTTCATTCACATTCTCCATAGCGTCGAAGCTTAGCCATGAGACTTACCACTGTTGAAGATTACAACCCATTTGTAGAGAATATGGGACTTGAATATAACCAAGTTATGTTTAATATATCCAATGTAAGTTTTTAGTAATGAATTATAGGATGAATTGCTTATTAATTACTCAATCCTTTAAACAGGGAGCTATGACCGGATTCTTTGAGGGCTACCCTAAGTCTAAGCCCGCAGTTTCTATGGTGTTAGCCTGGTTTGGCCATCATATTGAGGACAAGGATGTTATCAAGTGTTTTAATGATACCTCTCAGAGTCGACCAAAACCATCAATTACAAGCATATTTAAAAAACTTAATTTCTTTATGAGGGCTTTCTTATTTGGTCCCAAAAATTTAATTAAAACTAAAATTCAATACATGGATACAGAAAAATACAATTTCCTAAACAAATTGAAACACTATTCTAAACCTAAAGAAGTTTTTGATAAAATTTTGGAAAATTATTTTGTGATAACAGAGATAGGAATGAGAAATCATGGGTTTGTCTCATTGGGCTCATCCATGAAAAATACTATATTGAGGACTAGTCTGGAAGGCGCTATGAGTAAGTTGTTTGTCATTATTATAAGTAAATTTATTTTACAAATTATTTTGGATCATATTTATAGAGGATAATCCAAACCTGGAGTCAGATTTCAATTTATTGATCTCTTCGTGTACTGATGTGATCAGCGCTGAAGTGCCAAATAATTTGCGGGAAATCGCAAAGTCTATCAAAAATAAGGAATCCTTTAGACA